GTATAATCTTTTTGATTCATGTGCACTTCAAACTGAATGGGTACAGTGACATGAAACTAACCAATTATTAAAGTGAGACATTATTCTAGAAAGTGTAATGTTATTTTTTTTTCATTTTAAGAGTTGATTTTCTCTGGTATTTCCTCACTAAAGTTTTCAACTTATAATTTTTTTGTGAAAGACAACTCCAAACCCAATTTTAAGATCACCCAATTAACAAGCATCCTTCTTTAAGATGGGACTACTTTGATATGTAAACTCTAAGCACAACCAACAAGTTTGAAAAACACCAACATGAAATTCTCAATTTTCAAAATGTACAAAAACCTGCTCATCACTGAAGAGACATGAAATAAAAATTAATCTTCACACACAAAAAAGAATATCTTTATAAAGAGAAAAAAATTAAGTCTTATTTACATACTAATTTCATCGAAATAATCTTAAAAAAAAAAAAAAAAAAAAAGTAACTTATCACCAGTTAACTATAAAAGAAATTTCAGTATTTTGACCAGTTTTGACAAGAAAGGTTTGGGATGCCAAATATCTACACTTTTGTCTGAGATTCTTGCATCTGAAACACTTTATTTTTAAAAGGACTTCAGTAAGTTTTCAAATTCATTCTTCAAAAGTCCTGCACATTTTGAATATCCTTAACAAATTTCACAGCTTACTCAACTGCAATAGATACTTTGAATCCTCTATCATCAGTACTCTCACTGAGCAATCACTGCAACATTCTTTTATTCCTTAGTCTTACCACCAACATATTTCTTAGAAGCTCATTAAGTTGAGAGTGAATGTACCATTCCATCAGGTGACAAGGTTTGTAAAGTCTTATCTGTTAAACATTGAAGAACTGCATAATAATTTTTAACATCCAGCTGGCAAATCTGAAATCTAATTCATGCTTTTTAACACATTATCACCATTTTTATACAGGGTTGCTAAGCTCTCTGAGGACATTTGCATGAATTTAGTAAAAGATGCATAAGTCATAAAAAAAGTTTGAGAAAAAAATTGGCATGAATAATCTGAATGATAAAGCCACTGTTAGCATTGATGACTGCTTCAATATGAAATCTGAAATGTTGACATGCCTGAATCAGATGACCTTTTATTTATTTTGGACATTAGTTAACGTGAACTTCAGAGATTTTATAGTGTTAGGGGAGCATCAATTGACTTCCCTCTCAACTACACACCATACATATGTAGTAGTCCAACAGACTCAGGTCTGCAGCATTAGGAGGCCATATGTTTTAAGTGATGTGATGATCCATTATAGGGTCATTTTGACATTATGAGATGAGGCAGAATAAAGAAACAAAATAAAGATTTTATTAAATTAATATTGTAGTGCAGATGCATCCTAATTATAAACAAGATGAAAAGGTCATTAAAAATATAATCTACAGGTATAGAAATTATTGACTAACAAATATCTTAGATTTATCACATCTTAGCAATAACTCAGCACCTCAAAAATCTACCCTTATGTAAAAAAAAAAAAATAACACTATTTGTGAATTCTCATGTCCTTTGAGTGACTGTAGATCCAACATTAATAATCAACAAACAACATTAAATTTTTACGTTGACCACACATGCACCAGCTTATATAAACATTGTTACCATCACCATTAATATTTTCCTGTTTAATAGTTTTTAAACAGTTTAAGAATTTTCTGATTTCATTCAAATTCTATCATCTTTCAATAAAATTGAGTACTTCAAGATGTAAAAATCACTCATATTATATCAGTTAAATTTTAGAAATTTCTCTCAGATTCAAATATAAATATCACTTTATAAAAAAATGCTGTTTCGTTTTCAATTTTGTTAGCGCATCACTAGTGCATTGATTAGTCAACTACTAAATCATGTTCATATCATCTAAAGACATATCTTAAAATTTCACTTTTCCAAATTCATTAATATTAAAAAAAAAAAAAAATTTGAAATAGAGAGTTCACATGAAGATTAAATATTTCATTACAGTGATGATGGGTGATAATGTTTACTTCACAATTTTGGGATTTAATATTTCTAACATAAAAAATACTAAATAAAATTAGATATCCAAATTTGTGTAGGTTTCTCTAATTTATAAAGAGTGAAGTCTTTATGCTTTTTCAATTTAAGCATAACATTTCAACATATGTATTAATAAGTTTATCACATTTTTATAAAATTCCAACCACAATGTTCAACTGTTTTGTCCAAGACATAATTAGCAATATTTTCATAAAGTACAAGTAACTACCTTAAATTTGACAAAAAAAACTTAAATTATGACTAAAAGCTCATCACAAGAATTTCACAAAGAAAAAAGGATTGGTGTATCAAATTTCCAGCAAAATTGATTTTACTATCTATCCAATAATATATAGTTTAAAAAAAAAAAAAAAAATAGCATTTACCACCCAAATATTTTATAGTTTTATTTTCAAATGCAGATAGTTGAAAAATACATCAACAAAGAAAACAATCAAGTATTTAATGAATGCCAGTATGCAAATGAGATTTGTGAATAACAGCCAAATTCTTGTGCTCATCACTGCTTGGCTCAACTTGAAAGAAACAAGTCAAGAATGCAAAAGTGATTGACTGAGGTCCTTCTATTTTTTTTTTAAAGGTCTCATACTATTCCATTCACATTGTATGCAGTGCAGACTATTATTAATGGACAACAAAAGAAACATGCACAAGTATATGTTTCTTTTCTACAAATCTTTCTTAGTTAAACGTTGAACACAGAACTGAAATCCAATTGGTTTTAGAGGATTTAAATTGTGGTCCCTATTTAATGAAGCCATACAATACCATTAAAGAAAATTCAATTCTTAAAACTAATAATCAGTATTTGTAAATTTAAATTCCAATATGACATCTCTTTCTACTAGCAAATACTGTAGTGTAGAGGTTGTCAAAGTGTACAGTCCAAGCCAGGTAAATGTATTGTAAATTATCACAATTCATCTGAAAGAAAAATTAGCACCAATACCAAATATGGTAACAATGTCAATTTAACCATTTTTGTAGTAGTTAATTAAACCATAAAAGTTTTAACAAAACAAAATGCTAGTAAATTTTAAATAAAACGTATCCACCTTAAAAGTAATTAGGATATAAACAAAAATGGTTCCACATCTTATGAATTCCCATTAAGAAATTATTTCGTTAAAGATGTACAGAAAAAAGAAATACTTCATTCATGCTTCTTATCTATTTCATTACAAACTATTTAAAAAAAAAAAAAATATATATATATATATATATATATATATATATATCACGGAGATTAACAAAAATGCATAACATTGAAGACTTCATTTAACCACCTTCAAGTTCAAATTTAGAATGAAGTTAAATAATTTTATTTAGAGTTTGTTTTTGTTTTTTACTTTACAATATTTCTTAATTTTTAAGTTCATAATTTGAGTACTTTTTAGTTTTTAATTACCATGGAATTCTGGGAGATTTTTCTATCTTCACATAAAATTCGAAATTCAATAAGTTTGCGGCTATTTATTTAATGCTTTTCTATTTAATAAAAAAAAAATCTACGAATGGCTACATAAAAAATTATAGCTCAAGTTCCTTTTTTGTGATACAGAAAAAAAGCAAGATAAATGCTCACACACAACAAGAAGTATATACACAAAGTTAAAAGTATCTTATTTCCGCTTTATAAAAAAAATACCGAAGCAAATATTGCAGTAAAACTCACTAAAAGTAAAACAATTTTACAAACACATCTTTATTGTAACTGTGGCAAAGTACAAGCAAACTGAAAACAAATTTTTCCTATACCTTAAGAAAAAAACTAAAAGTAGTGGGGAGGCGACATAAGTCGACAACATCCGCTCCTTTGTATTCATGACATAAGTGTTTATAATGTTTTATACCAAACCACCAACCATTAGCAAAGCTGCTGATAGGGCTAAAGATGTAGAAAAATTTTTCTTTTTTTTTTTTAAAAAAAAAAAAAAAAAAAAAAAAATGTTGGCCAATACCAAGAGATAATTTTAAAAAAAGCAAAGTGAATGGAAACAAAGGAACGGACAAAATATAAAAATAATTGTGAAAACTCCTTTAAATTTAGTAAGCCACGTGACAAAAAAAATTGCCAAGCATCCTTAAAGTTAACAAAAAAAAAAAACAATAAATAAATAAATAGAAGTGTCCGCTTTATCTGCGAATTATTTGTTTTCAGATCAGATTTTTCTTTTTTTCTTTGAATGAGTGGATTCACGATTAGCCATTTGGGCGTGTTTTTAACTGTAAATTCAAATGTTAAAGACAATATTGGTCGAAATAGTAAAGACAATGTGTTGTGTGAGTCAGACTTAAGAAAAAAGATTGATGATGACTAACTTAATCAAGAGGTTCAGTAATTAGTAAAAAAAATAAATAAATAAAAGGAGGGATAAGATTAAGAAGAGGAGAGATACTGAAAGGAAGCAAACCGGAACACTTTTTCTTTTTCTCGTACTCATGAATAAAGAAATAAAAAAAAGAATAAACAGAAAGTAAAAAAAAAAAAATTAAATGAAAAATCTACACAATCAAAAATAAAAATAGGTATAAAAAAAATTGCTTACCAAAAAGATGAAAAATAAATCATAGTTAAAATTACATTTAAAAAAAAAAAAATAAATGCGCTCAGAGATTTTTCATGACAAATGACTCAGACAATAGTGGTCCGATGAGGAAATCAATCTTAAAGCAGTAGAAAAAAATGTTTGGTTTAAAGTAGGAAAAAAATGTAGTTTATTTGTAATAAAATAGAAAAGAAAGAAGATGAAAAAGAAGAATGAGAGACGATTTGTTGGATGGTTGGTTGTAAACAAAAGACTCTTTAGCTAAATGGTTACGGCCCGAATCGCACCAGACGAGCACAATTCCGATTCATCGAACAACCATTCTACAAATCTTGTTCGATGTTTGGGGTACAGCTACATGTATTTTTATGATTTAAAAGAAAGCATTCTTACCGACCACAGGATGAAAAACTCGCGCCATCAAAGTTATCGAAGTTTAGCGAAAAACATGTAGAGAGCTATAATATAAGGGAGATAAGAAAATGACTGATTCAATGCCAACAATTGATTACCTCCCTTGATCTGCCATTATCACTTTTCCAGATGAGTTTATATTTTCCCATTTTTCATTTTTCATAAATTTGTATGGCTTAAACTTTTTGATTCATGTTTTTCATTTCTCTTTATTAATAGTTTTTTTTAGAAAATAAGGTTATTTTTAAATATAAAATGTTAAAAGAACATAATTAAAAAGCAACAGGATTAAAATTCTGTTAATTAAAATTAAAAAATAAAATTTATGTAGCCTTGCTGATATACAGAAACAAAAATAACTCTTTTTCTTTCTTTCCTCTTCTTCCTTTCCATTCTATTCCATTCACTAACTAACTAACTAACTAACACTGTTTGCAAAGAGAAAAAAGAACTCCTCACCCATCATTCTTTCTGGCTTTTATGCAACCACCACTCGCCCATAATGCACTGGCAATTCCCTATATTCCAGCTTCTTGCTTCCAGCACCAGCAAGTTTTCACTTCTTTCTTCGCATCTTTTTTTTTTATTACAATTTAAATCATTCAGTCAAACATTGAATAACCGTTAGAATCTTCCAAAAACATAAGCTTTATGGTTAAATTATAAAAGTCACAAAATTTTCTGTTTGCTCCAAAGATTCTTTCACATATAATGACAGCAACTGTGTAATTTTTAAATAGGTAAAAGAAATTGTCTATAACTTTACAGGAAGCTCAATGGCTTCGTTGGCACATTTGTGGCAAACACCAATTTATGCACACAGAAGTTGTGGGAATGGCAGCATGAGGGATCTGATGTTGCCATATTGGACCTGAAGAGGGTATATCTTCAGGTACACATACAGAAATCTCTGTGGCCCTATTAGACAGTAATGTTACAGGGGCAGAGGTATTGCTTCATGCAACTTGGATTTGGCCTGAACATTGCACCAATGATAATGTGATCCATTATGAGCTCAGTGATATCCCAGAATAGAACAATACAACAAGCCACATTGTCATACATTGATGACATCTTTGTCAACAAACATCCACTGATCAGGTAAAATTTGGACTGGCCTGCAAGACTCCAAGTTCTTGGGCTGCATATTCCAAATGATGGCAGCAGACTGTGCTGGGCATGAGAAGGAGACATTCCAGATTGCCCACCTGTTATGTCACAATGGACCATCTTCTCAGTGTGCAGAAAACTTATTGATTATCTTCCCATTTTCAGTTGGCAAAAAAAACAGCATACATGAAACGTCATGCCAACAAGGTTACAACTGGCTGGGATGACAAAGAAAATGATGCCCCCCTCAGGAGCATACTAGTAGAGACGCTGGCCAGGGTGCAGCCGGATGGTCCCATGTGAGGTGATTGGTATGTAAATGGATGTGAATTCACGGTTTGGGTGGACAGAAGCTCACTTGCCATTGGGGTTGTGCTGGAAGCCAATGGATCAGTCATTGAAGATGTATGCTGGTTGTGCCCAGCTAATAACGCACAACACATTAACCTGACAGAACTAGATGCAGTTCTGAAAGGAGTTAACCTGGCACTCTAGTGGCAGGTGAAGGCACTACATCTCATGACAGATTGATCCTGCATCCACCAATGGATCTGAAATACCCTAACAGGGAAGGCCTGACTAACTACCAAAGCAACCAGCTAAATGCTGCTAAAAAGATGGCTCAAAATGCTCATAGACCTAATTAATGAGTATGGGCTATCAGTGGATGTAGCACTAGTCAAGTTAGAAGACAACAAAGTGGCCAACTACTAAGAGTACTTTAGCAGTGGCTGAGCAGAGTAAAAACAGAAGTTGAGCCCACCCAGCATATGTGCGCTGCTTCTGCAAATCAACTGAGCATTCAGCAAATAGTACATATCCATCAATAGAGCAGACACCCAGGATTAAAACGCATGTTATATTTTGCCAAATGGAAAGACCCGACTGTTTCAAAAGCCAACGTACAAATGGCAATGAAGACATGGGAAGTGTGCCAATCAATTGATCCTGTGCCTGTACACTGGTGAAAAGGGAGGCTTAACGTGAAGGACAATTGGAGCCGGTTAGGAGTGGACATCACTCATTATGGCAGTGGCCATTATCTTACATTTATTGATTGTGGTCCCTTGTGATTTACCATCTGGCACCCGCTGAGTTGGCAGGACTCAGCAAGTGTTGTACGCCAGCTGGAGTCCATATTTTGTGAGCGTTTTTTCCCTGACTGACAACAGCACCGCATTTACTGACCAACATTTTTGGTAGTTCTTGTGTGATCAGGGTATACATCTTCGATTCTGGTGTACCTATGAACTAGTGTGAAACAGTATAGTTGAGAGAAACCACAGAAGTGAAAAAAACATTGCAGCTACAATGTTCCATACCAGAGGCAGTCTACTGGTATAACATCACGCCAAAGGACAGAGTCTCAATCTTCACAGCACCAGCCAGTCATACATAGCTACAATGTCTGGATACAGGATATTGATCCAGTGGTCACCCCCAAACCACAAGAACTCCAGGGACAGTTCCATGTAGGGGATACTGTATGGGTCAGAATCCTGCACAGCAGGTGTACAAGTATGTCCAGGATGTGCCGGGTGACCAAAATCAACAGTCCCCACACGGTACTTGTTGATGGAAACCCTCATCATGTAAAAAACTTGCACCCTTTCTCAGGATTGCATGTGCCATTCAGAAACACCAGTGGCTCATCAGAAGAAAGGGAATTGTTGGAAAGGCTATGATCAATATCACTAGATGATACCTCTGACACCAGTAGCTTGGAAACTGCTGATGATGATGATGAACTGTCTTGGATGTAGTTCCTCCCAGGAAGAAGCCAGAGCTTCCCCACTCTGAAGGTGTGCCCAGATAAAGAGGCACACACCCAGCTGGACATTTTGTGATGAGAACATCAGGTGAGAATGTAACAAAGGAATTGTTGAGAGAAAGCATTGTTCACCTGCCATTGTTTGTAGCCATAAGCAGAATTGATTTTGATGCAATTCAAACCTGAGCTTCGCATTAACCTGCTGAGGTTGATTTGTCCAAGTAAAATGAACACACAATAGAAAAGCCAGAATGTTGGGACAGTGACATGATTTGCATATCATATGCGAATTTAATCCAAACACCCAGATCAATTACTTTGTGACACAATAAAAGAACGAATGAGTTCGGTGCTGAGGAGTCAGGAGAAAGACGTTCTTAATGTTGTTTCTAAGGACAGCCAGGGCAAGCAAGAAACTAAGACAAGTGACCATGTTTCTTTCCTACTTTCTTTTTACTTCAGAAGTCATAATATATCCAACATTATCCCAGTATCTGAATCTCTTCTTTGTATAATTGTTATTGGAATCTTGGGTACTTGGTGTACTTGACACTGTGGAAATAAACTAGCCCATTAGGTACATTAATGAACAATGTCTGTCATCAGTTTTGTTTTACATTTTTTATATATTATTTTAATGAAAGAAGAAAATTTCCTTCATTCTGATAAATTTTACTTGATGAGTACTGAAGACTGTATGAAATGTTATATTAACAGCAACAACAACAGCACCTTAAAATCTAAACAAATAGTGGATAGGCTAAAAAGAAATTTATTAATTCTCTATTTATAGAAAAATGTGAATATAAGAGAATATGATCTGTTTGTTTTATTTAAGGAAATTATTCAAGTGTTGAGTCATTATATTTAAAATACTTTCTTTTACAATCCTATATCTCTAAGTATTATATACTTTTGTATCTCTTATATAAATAAGACATGCAAGCACTTGTGCATGTAAAGAAAAAAATTTTAAATCTATATAAATTAATATTTGGTAAAATGAACAAATTAAACAGATACAAATTATAGTGGACACATTATAAGGTCATATTCTATTAATTAATCAGTTTTAGACAAAATAAAAACATTTTTATTGAAAATTATCAAGATCTGTGTAGTGATATGCAAATTAGTATAATTTGCATATGAGCAGGTAGCTCATAAATGGACACCAACGAGAACGGAAGTGGAATAAGAACTTAGTGGATACACGACATAACAATGGCGTCGCCGATAGGATACTCTTTGGTCCTTGAAGACCCAGAGTACGTAGACACGTGGATTCGTTGCTTTGCTGCTAATGCTAGATGTAAAAAGTTGAAAGACAACAAAAACAGAGGAGGGGAAAATGAAATCACCGACTTGTTCATGGCTACCGCTGGTTGTGAAGCGATTATGAAGGTTGCTACAATGGTTTACCCTCGAGAACTAGAAGAAATGACTTTCGAAGAAATAAGTCAGGTTATTAAAAAGGGAAACATGAGGCCAAAGAAAAGACTGGTGATTGCAGAAAGGACCAAGTTTATGGCAATGAAGCAGGAAGTGGATGAACCGATAGTAAAATATTTACACCGGTTAAGAAGTGCGAGTAAATACTGTGAATTCGAAAAAACTAGGAACAGGCGAGCAGACAACGGAAGAAGAATTAATCCAACTAAGATTAATTGAAGGTATGCATAATTCGGCACATAGATATAAGTTAATGGAACAGTTACAACTTACAAACATGCCTTTGAATATGTGTATAGAATTTATACAACAGCAGGAATTAATACATACCTACAACCAAAATAAAAATAAATCCTACGAAGAAATAATGGCTGAAACATATACGGTACAAACAAAAAGAAAAAATTGTGCTTACTGTGGAAAAAATTCATGAAATGAAAAAAGAAAATGCCCAGCCTTTGGAAAGACGTGTTCAAAGTGTTTAAAAAAAATCACTTCAAAGAAGTATGTAAAACGAAAAATGTGGAAAGAGTAGAGGATGAAAATAGACAGATTTTTAATGTAAAAAAGGATAATATACAAAATACTGGATCTAAGAACGGAGATACAAAATAAAAGTGAAAATCAACGACTGTATTGTCGAAATGCAAATCGACACAGGTAGTGACGTCACGATAGTACCCAGAAATTTGTGGGAAAAAATGGGAAAACCGTTTTTAAAAAAACCAATGTACAACTACGTCAGTTTGATGGCTCGATTATAGCAATTATGGGTTACTTTGAAGGTTCAATAGAATTAAAAGAAAAATGAAAAATAGTACCCATTATAGTTACAAATTGCCGAAAAACGCATGGACTACTGGGAAATGACGTGTTAAAAATAAATTCAACGAAGTTGATTAATGAGATAGAAATAGAAAAACAGGAAAATTAAAAACTATGAAGCTAGCCTGAAATTAAAAGAAGATGTTTCCCCCTCCTACTACGAAGCGAGAAAAATACCAGTGCATTTATTACCATTGGTAATAGCTAAATTGCAAAAGCTAATAAAGGAAGACTTATTAGAACCTGCCCCTCCAGGAGGAAGTAAATGGGCATCACCCATCGTGGTATTGAAAAAAAAAGATGGTGACCTGAGAATTTGTGGAGATTATAAAATAGGGGTGAACCATAAAGTTTGTGCTGACTCGTACCCTATTCCAAATGTGGAAGTAGCTTTACATAAGCTTGCTGGAATGAAAGTATTTTTCAAGATAGACCTAAAATCAGCTTACCACCAAATACCGATAAATGAAAATTTTAAAGAAGTGACGACTATAAACACACCTATAGGCCTGTTAAGGTGGAAAAGAATGCCGTATGGCATAAAAACGGCAAGTGCAATTTTTCAAAAAGCTATTGAAAAAGTAATAGGAAATGTTGAAAATACCATCTGTTATCAAGACGATATATGTGTTGGAGATTTAAATGAAGATGATTTAAAGAAAAAAACTGAAAATATACTGAACCGGCTGAGAGACGCTGGTATGACAATAAATACAAAAAAGTGTGTAACCAACAGTAATGAAATATCATTTTTTAGGTTACTCAATATCAAAGGAAGGATCTCTCCAGATAAAGTACTAATAGAGAAAATTCTAAAAGTTGCTACACCAAAAAAAAAAAAAAAGAATTGAGTCCTTCTTAGGTTTGGTAAATTTTTATAGAAAATATGTACCAAAATATAATGAGTTGACAGAGCCATTTGCTAAGTTAAGAAAAAAAATGTGGAATTCATTTGGTTAGAACACCAACAGAAAGCCTTTGAAAACTTAAAACAGATTCTGGCAAAAAAGCCAATAGTACAAATTTTTGACCCTAAGAAGGACATAACTCTAACTACTGACGCTAGTGAGCAGTCCATATCTGGTATTTTGTCACAAGATGGGCATCCCATAATGTATTTATCAAGGAGATTAACAACAACTGAACACAATTATTCGAATATAGAAAGGAGGCACTAGCCATAGTGTGGACAACGATAGAGCAAAGACAGTTTTTGATGGGAAAAAAAATTTGTTGAAAAGTGATCATAGACCACTGGAATTTATTTTCAACCCAAGAAAAGAGCTACCGAAAGTTACAACGTCCAGAATATTACGTTGGGCAATTAGACTGATGGCGTTCGACTTTGACATTGAATATGTTAAAGGGAATACGATACCGCACGTTGATGCCTTATCTAGATTGAGGTTTTATAGAGAGGAGGACAAAAACGACGAGGAATTTGAAGACACATTCTTGCACCTTGTAGAAACCGATGTAATATCTGTAGATAAAATGGCTACTGAAACTACAAATGACCCAGTGTTAAATAGAATAATGTCGAGGATAAAACAGAATCGCTGGGGAAATTGTTCAATGGCTGAAAGACCATTCAAAGAAATCAGACATAAAATGACTATAGAAAACGGGATAATATGTAATGGAGACTTGGTAGTTCCCCAGAAACACAGAGGAGACAGGTTATAAAAGTGTACACGATGACGTACATTGTGGAGTGGCAGCTACGCAAAGAAGATTAAAATTGGAAGCCTGGTGGCGGGGTACTCAAGAGACGTAGAAGACTACGTAAAAAGATGCAAAAAATGCACAGAACTCAGGAATTTTAAGCAAAAGAAAATACATGTATGGCCCCGAGAAGTAGAACCATGGAGCAGAGTACACATGGACCATGCCTATGTCAATGGGATAGGACTATTATTAATATTAGTAGACGCATATTCAGGTTGGCCTGAAGTGGTGAGAGTACCTGATAAAAAAAGTACCACCATAAAACAAATATTAAGAGTAATATTTTCGAGGAATGGGACACCGAGAACATTGGTGACTGATAACGCACCAGAATTTGTGGATGCTGATTTGCATGAATGGCTAAGAAAAATAGGATGCAGACCTTACAAGACCCCTCCCTACCACCCTCAAAGTAATGGGGCAGCGGAAAGGATGGTCCAGACGGTAAAGAAGGGCATAAAAGCATGCTTGCAACAGAAGGAGGAAATCGATGCTTTCCTACCAAGATTACTATTAAGTTACAGAACAATTCCACATGCAGGCAGGTCGAGAAGTCCATCTGCCTTAATGGGCAGACAATTAAGGTCCCCTTTGACTATGTCATATGCCACAAATCAAAAGATGTGGTACAAAAGAAATAGGAATATGCAACCAGAGTCAGCCGAATTTATTATGCAGAAAGGACATAATACTGCAATATTAAATAAAGAAAATGGGAACAGTGTTCTAGCTCATGCTGACCAAATAAGATCCCAAGGAGAAGAATCTGATGAGGAAATGCCTTCAGAGATGCCCATTATTGATGTATCAGAAGAGTTAATGCAGAATGAAACTGCGCAGGAAGAAGTAGAGGGGATGAATTAGAAGAGGAAGACCAGAGTATGCAAGAGGAACAATTTGATTATAGGGAAAGACGTGATAGATCTAGATCTCCAAGGGAAAGGAGAGGGATAAAGGAAGATGTTCGGGAGGGCACAAGAAGAAGTACAAGAAGTACTCGCGGCATAAGGCCCCTCCGTTATAGGGAGATGTAGTGATATGCAAATTAGTATAATTTGCATATG